ATGGGAGAGGAAGGAGGAGGAGAGGGGGAGAGAATGAAGAGGAGAGGAAAAGGAGAGGTAGTAAAGGGGGATGTGGAGAGATGGTTGAGAAGAAGAAAAAGAGGATCGGAGGATGGGGAAGAGGGGGAAAAAGAAGGAAGAGAAGGGTTAGGAGAAGGGCAGAAAGGGGGTGAGAGAGAGAAGGGAGAGGGACAGAGGGTTGGTGGTCGCTGAGACAAAGTGGTCGTTGTAGTAGGGGGTTGAGATACATGCTCGTTTTCCCCGGTTCAGGCAAAACTTCCTCCTCCCTCCCTCCCTCCCTCCTCCCTCCCCTCCTCCCCTACCTCCTGTAGTTTATAACGGCACGAAGCCCCGGCCAGGAGGGAGAAACTCAGCCCTTTAACACCACGTCCTAGAGTCCTTATTGTTTACAGTGGCGCCGCGACCAGCCAGGGAGAAGTGATGCGGGAGACGGCATGGTAAACTCAACCCTATGATAGGATAGTTCGACAGTCGGGAATCGCTTGGGATGGAAGGGAATTCGGTGGGAAGGGAAGGAATGGGATTGTGGTCCTTGTGCGGTGGTAGTGTTGGGTCGCGTGGCGCCTGGCTCACCTCCTCTCCCCGGCACGTGCTCGCTCCCAAAACCTGGAAAAGCGGGAAAAATGTGTTTACTTTTTTGTTTTTAATGGATTTATTCCCGAATTTCCCCCGTCGTGCGATTGGTTAAAGGGGAGAAAAAATATATATGTGTGTGTGTGTGTGTGTGTATGTATATATATATATGTGTGCATGTGTATTGGAGGCTTCTTGGACGCATGCGTTTATATAGTCTCCTGATGCAATGGACGGGGACCTGAGTTCAAGAGGGACTTTTTTTGGTGTATGTCGCAGATTGATATACAAGTTTGATATTACACCAGAATGACGCAAATGACGCAGCTTCTCATATGGCATCAGTGAAACAGTAGGGAGGAGGAGGAGGAGGAGGAGGAGAAGAAGGGAGAGTTAGTAGATGAGGAGGAGAAAGGAGGAGAAAGGAAGAGTAAGTGAATGAAGAGGAGGAGGAGGAGGAGAGAGTTAATGATTGAGGTTGAGAAGGAGAGAGAGTTAGCGAATGGGGAAGAGAAGGAGAGAGAGTTAACGAATGAGGTAGAGAAGGAGAGAGAGTTAGCGAATGGGGAAGAGAAGGAGAGAGAGTTAGCGAATGGGAAGCAGAAGGAGAGAGAAAGAAGGAATGAGGAAGAGAAGGGAGAGAAAGAAGGAATGGGGAAGAGAAGGAGAGAGAGTTAACGAATGAGGTAGAGAAGGAGAGAGAGTTAAGGAATGGGGAAGAGAAGGAGAGAAAGAAGGAATGGGGGAAGAGAAGGAGAGAGTTAGGGAATGGGGAAGCAGAAGGAGAGAGTAAGGAATGGGGGAAGAGAAGGAGAGAAAGCATGAATGGGGGAAGCAGAAGGAGAGAAAGAAGGAATGGGGAAGAGAAGGAGAGAAAGAAGGAATGGGGGAAGAGAAGGAGAGAGTTAGCGAATGGGGAAGAGAAGGAGAGAGAGTTAGTGAATGGGGGAAGAGAGAAGGAGAGAGAGTTAGCGAATGGGGAAGAGGAAGGAGAGAAAGAAGGAATGGGGAAGAGAAGGAGAGAGAAGAAGGAATGGGGAAGAGAAGGAGAGAGAGTTAGCGAATGGGGAAGAGAAGGAGAGAGAGTTAGCGAATGGGGAAGAGAAGGAGAGAGAGTTAGCGAATGGGGAAGAGAAGGAGAGAAAGTTAGCGAATGGGGAAGAGAAGAAAAAGGAAAAGGATAAAGTTAGTGGAACGAGTAGAGAAGCAAGGGGTTAGGAAGAAGAGGAGAGGAGACAAGAAGAGAAAGAAAGAGAGAGAGAGAGAAAGAGAGAGGGGGGAGGGGAAAGGGAGAGAGAAAAAGAAAGAGAGGGGGAGAAAGAGAGAGAAAGAACGGGTGATCCTCATTTGAAAGGATTATTCACCTCTTTTTCTTCAGCGTTCCGATTCCCGACATATTAATTGGATATTTGTACGTGCTACACTAACGGCGTTGGTCGCCCCCTTCCTCCCCTTCCCCCTTTCCCCCTTACCCAAATCCCCCTTTCTGCCTTTTGTTATTGTATGAGGGGTACGTCCGTTCTCCTACCCTCCCTTACCCCCCCTCACTTCCCCTCACCTCCCTTGCCTTCCCTACCCTTCTCTTTACCTCCTCCTCTTCCCCTCCCTCCCTCGCCTCCATCACCCCCCTATCTATCTCTATCTATCTATCCATCCATCTACAACCCCGAGTGGTGAACTGATTTACTTCAACACCTGTAGTAGTACTTGTGATTAAATGGAATCGCCAATCACCAAGACTTAGAATGAGGGAGGAGGGGTGTTAACTGATCTGCATACTCCGTGTCGTTATAAGTGATTTGCTAATCTCTGAGCCACGGACTGTGAGGTGATTAAATAATTCACCATCCCTCGACCCTTGGACTGAGGGTGATCTAATTGATTTGCCAATCCCTCACCTAAAGATTAGAAGTATTAACGATTCGCCAATTCCCCCATATTCGCTGACTGAGTGGAAGGGATTAAATGATTCGCCAGTCTCCCCTCTCGTCTCGTGCGTGGCTAAATAATCATTATCTGTGTATATTGTAACCTAATCCCTTATTACTGATACGAGACTCCATTTAAGCCCTTAGTGGGAGGGAGGAGCAGAGAGGGAGGGAAGAAGAGGGACAGAGAGGGAGGTATAGGGAGGGAAGAAGAGGGAAAGAGAGGGAGGGAAGAAGAGGGACAGAGAGGGAGGTATAGGGAGGGAAGAAGAGGGACAGAGAGGGAGGTATAGGGAGGGAAGAAGAGGGACAGATAGGGAGGGAAGAAGAGGGAGGGAGAGAGGGACAGAGAGGGAGGTATAGGGAGGGGGAGAAGAGAAGAGGGACAAGATGGGGAGAGGGAAGAAGAGGGAGGAAGAGGGGACAGAGAGGGAGGTATAGGGAGGGAAGAAGGGGACAGAGGGAGGTATAGGGAGGGAAGAAGAGGAGGACAGAGAGGGGAGGGTATAGGGAGGGAAGAAAGAGGGACAGAGAGGAGGTATAGGGGGGAAAGGGACAGAGAGAGGTATAGGGAGGAGAAGAGGGACAGGGAGGGAGGTATGAGGGAGGAAGAGGGGGGAGAAAGAGGGAGGTATAGGGAGGGAAGAAAGGGGTATAGGGAGGGAAGAAGAGGGACAGAGAGGTATAGGGGAGGGAAGAAGAGAATTATGCAGAGGGAAGAAGAGGGACAGAGAGGGAGGTATAGGAGGAAGAGGGGAAGAGGTATAGGGAGGGAAGAAGAGAAATTGTAGGGAGAAGAAGAGGGACAGAGGGGGAGGGAGGTATGGGGGAGGGAAGAAGAGGGGAAAGAGGGAGGAAGAAGAGGGGACAGGGGAGGTGTAGGGAGGGAAGAGGGACAGAGAGGTGTGGGGAGGGAAGAAGAGGGACAGAGGGGTGTAAGGGAGGAAGAAGAGGGACAGAGAGAGAGAGAGGTGTAGGGAGGGAAGAAGAGGGACAGAGGGAGGTATAAAGGGAGGGGAAGAGGGACAGAGAGAGGGTGTAGGGGAGGGACAGAAAGATCGTGAGAGGGGTTCAGGAGGGAGGGAGGAGAGGGAAAGGAGAGAAGGATAGAGTAGGAGGGAGGGAGGAAGGAGAGGAGAGAGATGAAGAAAAGGAGGCAGAGTGAAGGATGCGGAGGACAGTGAAGGAGGGAGAGAGAGAAGGAGAGGGGCAGAGTGAGAGGGAGGGAGGGAGGGAGGGAGGGAGAGGAATATAGAAATAAGGAAGAAGAAAAACAGAGAGGTATAGAGAGGGGGGAGGGGGAGGGTATAGGAAGGATAGAAAAAGGGAAAGAGGTAGAAGAAAGAATAGGAAGAGAGGAAGAAGAAGAGAGGCAATGAAAGAGAAAAGAAGAGAAAATAAATGTGGACCATTTATTATTATTATTATTATTATTATTATTATTATTATTATTATTATTATTATTATTATTATTGTTATTATTATTATTATTATTATTATTATTATTATTATTATTATTATTATTGTTATTATTATTATTATTATTATTATTATTATTATTATTATTATTATTATTATTATTATTATTATTATTATTATTATTATTATTATTATTATTATTATTATTATTATTATTATTATTATTATTATTATTATTATTACTATTATTATTATTATTATTATTATTATTATTATTATTATTATTATTGTTGTTGTTGTTATTACTGTCAACAATATTCGTCACTTCACATCACTACAAACCATCAAATTTTTTTTTTCGCTAAAATCATGCCGGTTTGTCCTAGTTACCCCTGTCAGCCTCTCCCCCCTACCAGCCTACCCCTGCCAGCGTGCCCTTCATACCTACCCTGCCTGATTATAGCACCACAGGGGGCTAGGGGTGGTACGTGTCATGTTAGTGTGTTTGTCGGATAATGAAGTTATGTAGTAATCCTCTGAGTTACACTTTCCCACAGCACGAGAACACAGCCCTTACACAGCTCCTGTGGTGTAGGGCGTGTCTTAAGGGGGATGTGTAAGGGGGGGGGCGGTTGAATAGCCAAGGGGTAAGTTAAGGATTTGTGGGAAAGGGTAATGGGTGAGAGTTAAGGACCAGATTCTCACAGGGTCATAAGTTAATTGTCTCGAATCCTTAAATGGAGGCGTTAAACAGTATGTAACTTCAGTTCATTTAAGGTAAGACGAGACAAACTGGCGTGGGGAGCTGCTTAGCTACTGATGGCAAAAAAGTGGATACAATCTTAATATAACAACTATCTTGCCATTAAAGATAAAGTGTTGTGCCATTTCACACACAGTCAGCCTGGACCCGTCTCTAAAAGAAGTGTGTGGTAGATGGTATGGTATTAAGAAGCTGCCGTCCCCAGAGTTTTTTTTTTTTTTGCAGAATTTTACTAACAATTCACCATCCTACAATTATGGTTTCATGACCGTACTAAGAACCTTCCTTGCCCTCAGGTGTGGTTCCAGAACCGACGGGCGAAGTGGCGCAAGACGGAGAAGACGTGGGGTAAGAGCACCATCATGGCGGAGTACGGGCTGTATGGTGCCATGGTGCGACACTCACTCCCCCTCCCGGAGACCATCGTCAAGTCAGTAGACAACGGGGAGGACTGCCCCGCCCCCTGGCTGTTAGGTGGGTGGTATTCCGGTGTTAGAGGCGCTCCTCAGGGCAGAAGGGTATCCAAATAGCACAAGGCATACCCTGACCTCTAGGTGGGCATCTTCTCGTACCTCCTAGTGGATATCCTGTTGTCAATAGGTGTTCCTCTGTGCCCTGTGCTGATACCCTTTCGACTCTCTCTTTAAATTCACAGCCTTAATGTGTAATCTATAGGCATGAGAGGTTCAGTTTCTACTCCAGATTGTGTACAGAGATGTTGAGTATAAAGAAAGGAGGAAAAATATTATTTCTAAATGTCTGGCAAGATACATGACACATAAAGATACTTAAATGCACTTAAGACAGTCAGCAACATGGTGTAGTGTGTATTGAATCTAGTGTTGGACGTAGTTTAGTAGATAGACACTTAGAAACACTTAAGACAGTCAGCTACAAGGTATAGAGTGTAGTGATGGGTGTTGCTGAACAGACAGTCGGGAGAGCTGCCGTGATTGGTGACGGTCACTATGTTAGCAGGGATGCACCGGAAAAGCATGGAGGCGGCGCAGCAGCTGCAGGAGTCGGAGCCGGACGGTGAAGCTAGTGACGGACGGGAGGACCCCCAGCGGCACCAACAGCAGCAGCAGCAACAGCAACAGCAAACCTCGGGAGAACAGCAGACTGAACAGCAGGAACAGCAGAAGCGGCAGCAGCAACAGCAGGGCCACCCGGGAGATCATCATGGGGACCCTGAGGGCGGGTTCCCACGGGAGTCTCCCCACTACCCCATGGACAAAGTGAGTCTCTCTCTCTCTCTCTCTCTCTCTCTCTCTCTCTCTCTCTCTCTCTCTCTCTCTCTCTCTCTCTCTCTTCCCCTTCCTCCTTAACTTACTTCACTCACCTCAACTGCCTCACACACCTGCCTGTTCTAGTTTACTCACCTATTCACTTTACCAAGACAAACTGTCAAGGTAAGCCCTGATCATCCTCAGAGCTGTGGGTCTTAAAAATAAAGAGTTTTATAAATTCATAAAGTTACATTTATAAAACGTACAACATGATGATTAGTAATTTTGTTTCGCTTGTGTATATTTATCATTTCATTCGACCCCGACAACTCATACACCCAAGAGGAGATAAGGTTCAAACAGCTTTATTTATGTCATCCTTAGTTGTCTCACTGTTTATCATTGTCTGTGGACCTTCACTGTCAATGTATGTTATTCACCACTTCCACTGTGAATAAATACGATGATATTACTGTTAAAAAATCTCTTTATCTAATCTTCGCCAAGTTAACTCCGTTTTCTTTGTCACACAGGAGGTGGGCGGCGGGAGTAACTTCGTTGGGTCGCGGGGGGAGGGCACGAGCAGCCTGCACGCGGGGGGTGGGTCGTCTGGCCAGCCTCCTGCATCCCTCAACGCCCTCCCCGATGACCTACGCTCCAGCAGCATCGCGGTCCTGCGTCAGAAGGCCCAGGAACACGCCGCCAGGATGAACCTCAACAACAACTTGGCCGCTCTACACCACCCAGAGCCACTACACCACCACCACCTCGGCGGCCACTTCTGATCGACCACCTCCACTAAGTTATTATCATCGCTACCACCACCACCACCACTGCAACGAGCTTCTATCACCACTACCACACCGCCTTTACCACCACCACCACTCCATAACCACCACCTCAGCGGCCACTTTTAATCACCTACTCCACTGCCACACCAAAACCCCCACCACGGCTACCACGATTCCACCACCACTACCCACTCCTTCACCACCATAGCAACTCCTTTTCCCAACCGGCACAACCACTACAACCAATGTATCTTTAACATTAGAACTATCAGCACAACTACCACTGTAAAAACCAACTTGGCTACCACTAAAGCTGCAATCACAACCACAACAACCATAACACCATGATCATCACTGCTAACACAACCTCCACCACAAATGGTTATATAACTACTACTACTACTACTATTACTACTAATACTACTACAACCATCACGTGTGGTAGTTTGAATCACCCACAAACGACCTGCACATCTAAGAGTCTCACAACCCACAATTAATCGATACTATCACAATTATGTTCTAAATATATTAGTTTGACTTAGATGTGACACAACCACAAATAGTAACACTGTATGGCAAAGTTCCCTAAAATTAATTCGAAAGTCACACCTGTTGCTGATGTCATGTTGGTGTCCCTCGTGATAAGTCCGTTTTCTATGAAAGATAAATAGTGGAAGAAAAAAATATTGACGGGTAAACTATTTTCTTTTAAACAAACGTCGTGTCTTGCTATAAACTTGGAATAATAAAGAGTTAAATAATTTTTAGTGTATCTGACATCACCATAACTGACTTTAATAATATAATCAACACAAAATATATTAGAAATGATGCTCTTACATAACACTGACAAACTTATAGAATCGAAAGCTTTAAAGAGGTTGAAGTAAGTTTAGTCCCAGTTAACTTGTGGGATGTGAGACGATTAAGGTGGGGTTGAGAGATCGCCAGGTGTCATATACGACGGTGTCTACAGGGACGAGTCCTTCGCTGATACATAATTCTCTACATAATGTACATAATGACGAGGACTTTGTTGGTCGTATAATGTTGTATTTACACATTCGATTTCAAGTGCGGACACCAACACTAGTGAGAGCTCCCCCCCCCCCCTCCACTTATTAGTAGCCAAGAGTTATGACATAAACAATCATCTCCATCATTACTCCTCCTCCTCCTCCTCCTCCTCCTCCTCCTCCTCCTCCTCCTCCTCCTCCTCCTCCTCTTCCTCCTCCCTTATCCTGTCTCTTTCCTACAAACTCAGTCACCAAGAGTGTGTAGAGAAGCGTCTGTGACCTACACACCTACTCCTCAGCACCGTGTGTGTGTACAGAGGTGCCCAAGTGGTCTCGTGGTGATTAATGCCCCATCAAGCTGTACTATTGACGCTGGTCAGACAATCAACGATACAAGAGGCCTCGCCCTGAACACCCCCTTGAAGATGTAGGCAGGTCCTCCAAACACACGTAGAGAAGAAAATGCCAAGTTGATCACCAACACAAATCTACGTGGAGAGACAAGAAGCAGATCCACCGATATATATGACCAACACGGGGGATCTGTCTCACCACGCTAAACCTCGCTCGGGCGTGACAATCATATTTTTATTTTTTAACTTGGACCTGCACGAGCGGCTCCTGTTCTTTTTAACTCACCGCTGCTGTGGTGATGCTCCACACGAGGACCTGGTCACCTGTGCTAGATAGTGGTCGACCCTCCAGCCAGTTGTGTCTGTTAAATAAACTATGGATATTTGTTTCGCTTTAACTTGACAGAGGTGAGTGTGGCTGGCTGTGAGAGGGACTCACCCCAGCTCCTACTCTGAGGTCTACAGGAGAGTGAACGCACTCAACCCAGCTTTTGATATTAAGTCAAATAAAGAGTCCAGACTACACGTTGTGTGCTGCACTGAGGGGCAGTGAACCTGACCTGCACTGCCCACTGGACCGGGCCATTAGTGGTTCATGTGACTGTGTTGTGTCCTCACACTAAACTACTGCGTAGGAAGATACGCTACAGAAAGATAGAACCTTTTATTATAATGTTTCTTCAGTGGTGTATCTAGACTTGCTCAGAAAACAATGTGAACTCTTTAGTAAAAACAATTGTGTTCCTTGAGTGTTGTTGAAGGTTTCTGAGGCCTTGTGGCTTCTGAAACTAAATAGAAACTTATTTCAAAACTGTGAAACTTTAAACGTTGCCTATAGTGCGTCAAGCCAAAGTGAAACTGAACAATAAATAGTGACGTACTTATATATATAAATGTCTTCTGTGTTTCCATAAATATTAACATTTTCTCTTTATTGAAAGTGTTGACTTAGGTGATGGTGCCAGAGTAACAATAATCTACTTCTTGTGTACATAGCAACTTCATGCTTACGTCACCACTGCGTCATCCTACGTCACAAACGCTGGTGGCACTTTAGTTAAGGGTTGTGTTAGAGGTGTTTCTCATGCCTGGTGTAAGATGTATAATACTTCTGTGTTTTCTGGTCGTGGCTTTAATTAATCAATACTTCTCACACAATTAAAAAAATAACAATAAAAAACAGAAATCCAGGTACAGCTGAAGTAAAAATATATATCTATATATATATATATATATATATATATATATATATATATATATATATATATATATATATATATATATATATATATATATCTAATAAATTGCACAACCAGGAAATAAGAAGAAATGCTCTCGACACCAAACCAACGACTCGCTAAAAATATAATAACAAAAAATTCAAACCCTTAACAATATAGCAATTTGTTACTGTTTATTTATTACGTTGCACTCGCATATTTTTTTCATTGTTATAGTTTCTTTTGACTCACCGCATAAAATAATAACAATAATAATAATAATAATAATGATAATAATAAAAATAATATTAATGATAATAGTTAGTAGCAGCTCAGCAGACCCGTATCAATAATACTTTGCTAACTGAACGATAAATAATATTGGAAATGCTCGATAATTCGCCTCAACTAATCTTTATACTACTAAAAAAAGCCAAAGTGTAGGTGTTATAGACAAAGAACATGAAGAACAGGGTCATGAGGGGGCTGAGGGAACACCAGTGTTATATAATGTTCTTGTTAATGACTGTAGCCTTTGTAAACGTTCTCAGTTTCTGTTTCTCTTTGCTCAAGTTTCCCGTTTTCTTCGTCGTGTTAATAAGGGAGATCTTATTTATTTACTGTTTTGTCTTCATTGTTTTTGTAATAGATATAATACTCTCTCTCTCTCTCTCTCTCTCTCTCTCTCTCTCTCTCTCTCTCTCTCTCTCTCTCTCTCTCTCTCTCTCTCTCAGGGTAGTTGAAACTAGAGTACATGAGTGTTGGAGTACGGAAAATAAAACTTTTATTTCCTTGAGTCAGTCTCGGGTTCATATATTTAACCCGTTGAGTACTATGACTTAATCCCTTGAGTACGATGATTTAAACCCTTGACAAAGATGACTTAACCCCCTAAGTACGATGACCAAACCCCTAGAGTAAGATGACCAAACCCCTTGAGTAAGTCGACCCCAAGAGTACAATAAATTAGTATATAACCCCTTGAGTACGATGAATTAGCCTTTTAAATAAGATGACCAATTTCTACTAGTCACTTTAACCTAACCTAACCCCCAGGTAGTGTTGGGTGTTTAATCTTCAGGTGAAATAAGCTTGAGGGAACTAATTACAGGTGATTTCTCTTTAATATATATTGATCTGTTTTGAGAAATTATGCTACGCAAGTTTGGTTTTATTTATTTGTTTTCATGTTGATTTTATGAAAGTTTAAATTTGTTGTTTAGTTTCGTATAAAAAACTTGTGTTTCTTAAAGTCTCAAAAATAAATATTTTATTGATTACAAACTTTATTCCTTTTATTAAATTTTGTTTTATCAATGTACTTTGTTGAACAGTGACTCGGACGTTGTGACTCCTGATTAATTTTTATGTTAACTTCCATAATTTTACTCCAACACTGACGTAACACCATTAATAATTATTATACTGTATATTCCTACATGGCACTACTACCGTTGAGGACTGTTGCCATCACCAGAACACTCCCATAAATGATGTTTGTGATGTTGTATTGTTGTTATTCATAATCAGGTTCTCCAGATCCTCTCTTGTGTTAGTTGTCAACACTGTCTCATTATTTTCAAATATGTCCGAGTGAACCTAACTGATAAACAGGAGTTGTCATGAAGGATTTTTTGTCCCACTGTCAGCTGATATATCTTGTGTCACGCACCTCTGTCACGGAGATAATATTACATTACAATGTTAGAGAATAACTAAGTTTCTCCTCACTAGATTACTTCTTTATCGACAATGTTTCATTCCTTTTTTCTTCTTGATATGAGGCGAAGCTCGCCCTTCCTCATGACCGCTGTGTCCTCATGGGCGGCTGAATGGGTGGATGTGAGGTGCTCTTTATGACCACCCGCCCGCCCACACAGTCAGGACTGGAGCCCAAACTCCAGTCGGACTGCTGTGATACCGAGCCTCGTACAGCTGATCATTGTTAGTGTTGACGACACTTGTGGTTATCTATAACAAGTGACGTTACTGTGATGTAAACAATGTCCTGATGTTACCTCCCGGGTGTCTCAAGTGAACGACTACTGTCCTCGATGATGTAAACAAAACACTGCAGAAGGAAGTGTTATATTGTAGTGTAAAGAAACTAAATCACTGATGTTTGCCGACCTATGGAAGAATTGTTCACTAAATACCAACGTCATTGAAAATTGTATTAGTACCTCATATTCTGTGCCGGTTTCATCAACTGTTCTCTCCAGTTTAATTTCGTCAGCACAGAAGTTGATGTTCCAGACAACTGATCCAGAGAACTCTACGAAATACTGTATAATGAAAACCGTCAAATCTTGGAGTTACTCGACTCACATCACCAACATTAAGAAAACATCTTCACCTGAAACATCAAAGGGACCACAAACATCAGTGAAGTAGAGAACACCAAAACTGTCGTCAGCACCAAGTAGCTGACGCCATAACATCTTGAAATTCGTTAACATCCAGATTTCAATGTTATGAACGATGTCAACATAAAGTGTACAACATAAGTAACCCGAGGTGGACAGTGATCACACGGGGTGAAGGCCAGCAAGAATGTAAACATCGAATGCACATAACTGGTGTACATAACTGTGTGTGTCGGTGTGATGAGTGATCTTCTTGTTTTTATGTGACAAATATATGCTCACTAATTTTCGACTGTCTTTTTTTATCCTTATGAGTTGCTTATAAGGAAGAAGGGTCGAATAATACTACTACTACATATGGGAGTTTATACTTAGAAGTAGTATAGCTAGGCTCCTCGAACTCATCGCTGAATTAACGTAGGAGAACTATTGAAATAATCATAAAAATAAACCTTAATTACCACAAATAGACAATGGTAGAAAATAAACAGGAGCTGTGATGAAAGTCTTTATTGTTCTTATCTCTGGAAAAAGTGTGGAGTATATAAACGTCTCATCAGTGCGATATTTACGGAAGAACACTTATTTGACTAGGTGTTTAAAAGACATTACAAGTATTAAAATACATCTATACTTTTTAAGTACAAACCGGAGTAGAAAGTAAAACTGATCTACTCACAATGTTGCTATCATACTGTGTGGTAGAGGTATACAGTAGCTAGCACCCGGCCTATAGTGGAGGCGTTCCAGTATAACAACGAACTTAACAAAATTACTCTTGTTTTAAAATCTTAGTCACACACACACACGTCCCAGGTGAGCTAATCAACACACATCACCTGTTTAACATCTGTCAAGACATTAGGTTTAGACTGAAATTTCTTAAGGATTTTAAAACAGGTTATTTAGTAAACCATTTGGGACGAAAGTGTCCAGTGGGTAATTATGTATCTCTATGAAAACAGAGTTGGAACACATGTGAGCGAATTATTTATGTTTTAACGTTATTTTTTTATAGTCTAGACTAGAGGTAAAGTTAACACATTTGAGTCCTATACCTCGTGGACGAAGATTTATGGAACATTCACGTAATATATTGATGGATCCATTTTGAGGCCAGTGGTATTGTTAGTGTGTGTGTGTGTGTGTGTGTGTCCTCATAAACAATAGTTACCAGAACATGACCTCCCCTCTTCTTGACTGAGCTTAAATCAGGGTCACTATCGATTATGGCAGTT